TAAGACCTTTTCCCCCCTTGCCCCCCTAAGATCGTTCCCCCCCTTTCCCTCCCTAAGATCTTTTCCCCCCTTCCCCCCTCCGCCCCTAAGATCTTTTCCCTCATTTCCCCCCAAAGATCTTTCCCCCCTCTCCCCAAAGATCTTAAAGGAAAAAGGGGAAAAGATCTTAGGGGGGAGAGGGGGGAAAAGATCCTGGGGGAGAGGGGGGGAAGATCTTACGGGGGGAAAGGGGAATTGATCTTAGGGGGGGAAACAAGCCTGTGATGTCGGCGGTCTGAGCCGGAGGCGTTAACATACAAGTCTAGAAGTTTCCGACAAACTCGGGGATCCATCTAATATCTGAACGCAGATGAGCCACAGCGCTAAGTTCCTCGTTGAATCTTGGCGCCTTCTCCCCTTTGGCGATCTCCGCAAAGTCCTCATAGAAGAGCCTGCGAGCACTCGGCTCGAGCATAGGTGTCATTTTTGGGAAAATCGATGGATATCCCTGGTTGATTGAACCACCAAGTAAAAACCAGGAATTGCCCAACCTATTTTTCCACCAAATCAACCAAAAAGGACACCAACTCGGCTCGAGCTCTCGGCTCACACGTGACTCAATCCCGCCCGCCCTCGTTAACATCCGCGCCTGGCCAAGTCCTTGTGCCTATACACTAGCTGGTAGATGCGCTCAGTGGACAAGAGGTCCTGCAAACACCCAGAAAACATCTTGAAAAACACACATGGGGAGAAGCATAAATAGAAAAATTGGCGGTCGGTTGAAACTGAATTTCCAGCTGTGCCAAAGAGTTGAAGCACCCCTTCGCAAGATTGCAAGTGCCAGTCGCTCCTTGATGCAAAGCTTGTACAACGTCTCGAGCTTTCTCTGACTCGCGACGTCGTGCTCCAAGACATTGTGCACGTTCGTGTATTCGGGCGCATACTGCTCCTTTGGAAAGAAGGTGTAGACAAATTTCACCTCGTAGCAGCCATAGTAATAGTTGCTGAGGGGAAAATATCCCAACAAAAATCACCCCCCAACCAACTTTCTGGAGCCTGAAAGCGGTTGTCAGATGCATGTCAAATACGTTCAAAATCCCTCTGAGTGCAGGTTCAAGATACCTCTTTTTGTGCAGCACTTCTCAAAAAGGGCGACTTTCGGACCCAGAGGGCTCCTTCCTTTCTTGAGCTCTGGGGGGCCAAGTTCTGAGCGCGCGACCGCCGCCAGAAGATACAGCCCGCACTCGTGGGAGATGTGGCCCTGCCTGAGACTTGGGAGAAACGGCCCCTTGAAGAGCCGAGCAAAATCATCCATTGCAGGACATGGACTGAAGGATCTTAATTACCAGCATCTACATAGGACATGGCACGGGCAATGTGAAAACGGACGAAACACGCGAAAGGCGGGAACGCTCTGTCTCTGCTTCCGGATCACATCACGATGTCGTAGACCAGAGCCGAGTTCCCAGGAGTCGCCTGAGGAAAGACGTCTCTCGCTCCGACAGCTTCCATGCGGCAGACACTTCCTTCGCTCGCGGCAATGAATTGGTTCAAGTTTAAGGATTTTAAGGTTAGTCCCAGACCCCTTTGGGCATGATCCAGAGTGACCCACGAGTGTTTTTGCGAAACACCAAGTTGCAGGCCTTCAAAAGCGTCGAATGCAGAAGTGCTCGCTTCAGGCGCTCGACTTCCTTTTCCATGTTGGAGGGGAAGAACAGGCTGTAGGTGATAACCTTGGTCTGTTCGTCGTTCCCACGACCGCCACATGTCTGTCCGAGCTGTTGTGATCCGCCCCTGAGTTTGGAGGCGAGTGTAGGGAGCCCCATATGGGTGATTTCCGCTATGCTCTTCAAACCAACCCCAAAAGCTTACCTTCAACAACTGATACAACCGGTTGAGTCAAGAAGCACCCATGCCTAGTTATGCCATGTGCATGGTCAACTTTGAAACACACACACACACAGCCACGCACGCACGCACAAACACACAAACACACAAACACACAGACACACAAACACACAAACACACAAACACACAAACACACAAACGCACAAACACACAAACACACAAACACACAAACACACAAACACACACACACACACACACAAACACACACACACACACACAAACACACAAACACACAAACACACAAACACACAAACACACAAACAAACACAAACACACAAACAACCACAACAAACACAAACAACCACAAACACAAACACAAACAGAAACACATTACATACAGAGGCCCACAAACGAACATGTTGTGTCCCAGGGGCACCGTTTGCAAATGTAGTGAAGTAGAAGCGGCGAGGCATGAGGCTGAGGATTCGCATGGACTGCCAAACCTCCTGGAAATAATTCCTCCCAGCCGTCTCAGCTGTGGCAAAGAGCAGCACGAAGCCTGAGAAGTTTCCAGGGTACGCCTCGCCGGGAATGATGTGCACCACGCTGCGGCGGGAGGCCACCACGTCCTCCATGACGATCTGATACTGCTCTTTTGCCTCCCTCGTCTTGCCTACGCGTCTCAAAGGGTTGTCAATATCTGCGAGCCCGAGAAATTACATCTTCCCCAGTTTGAGAAGCATTCCGCAACACGCAAGAGCGACTGAAAGAACCCAAGAGTATGGTGGCTTTTCGGCGCCCCGCCTTTCAGAAAGGAAGGAGACGCGAGGATTTCCAGACTGGTCTCTGTATCCGAAACTCGGGCAGTTTCGAAGTGGCCCCGCTCCATGCTGTAAATACCCAGACGCTCGTTTTCGCCGCGGAAGGCAGGCCCTTCAGATGCCATGAAGGTCAGAGCGATGCTTTGGGTGAAGTCTAGGCCAATATGGTGAGCAATCTTTGCTTCTGTCCTGCACTGCGACTCGGTCGGATTCTTGGGATCCGAGCCCAATGTCGTGAGGAAGAAGGCGCTGTGGTCCGTGGTGAAATCAAATTCTAAGGCTCGCATATGATTTGTGGCATGGGCCACATGCTTGGCGGCGATGAGGCACTGGATATGCTTGGCGATCTGCCAGGCTGTGAAGTGCTGGTAGTACATACAGTGAAAGCCCAGGCAATTAAAAAAGTGCTCCACTTCTGCTTGGACAGTACCTCAGCCCAGTGGATTTCCATGGAAAAAAACATGGCTTCCTTTTTTGGTCGACTTTGAAGTAATCGGAACCCTTCCCACAAAAAAAGTCGTGCAAAAAGGGCGGAATCCAGGCACCGGATTCGCTTGCCGGGGTACTGAAGCTGAAGATGCCCTCCTTCACTACGAGCTCAAAGACTCGACTCATGATCTCCGGCAAAGGCTCCATCTGGTCGCCCAAAGCCACGAGGTTCTCCACGGATTGGGAATCGGCCTTGCCATGGCAACTTGGGAACACTTGGGAACTTGAAGTGCGACATCTTGGGCCCCGTTTTTCGGCTTGGTTTGAAGCCGCAAGAAAAACAACTATTTTGGGGGGGCCTCCCTTTCCGGCAACTTGGGTGTGACATTTAAGCCGCAAGGAAAACTATTTTGGGGGGGTCCCTTAAGATATGACACCCCCAACTCGGGCAGGGACACCACTTCGGAAAACCGGGGTTTTCCTGTAAAAACAGAGACACCCCCCCAGATCAAACTCAAACGCAACGCTTTTTGCGGGTTCTCAAGGCGATGCTCTGAGTGCCAGACTCTAGGTCTGAAGGCTACATGCTTGTGCACAAAGCATTCGGTTCCGGAGAGCTTCCAGCTCTGCAAGTAGCGTCGCACTTCGTTGTGGCCATTTTGCACCTCGGATACGGAGGTTACACACGGACAGGGCAGAGACAAAGATGCTGAGGCATTGCGCCTTTCTGGGGAGTCACTGCTCCCATGCCAACTGGAGTGCATGATATTGCATGACCATTTCGGCACGCGACAGCATCGTGTATTGGAAGAAGTCCGAAACGATCCCTTTTGAGCTTTGCATCACATTCCTCTATGAGGAACTTGGCCAGCTTCAAATTTCCTGCCAACAAGCGCTGACTTAGACGTGGGCTTTGAAGCAATTTACACCCTCGTCACGACCCTCCAACACGACTCCTGCTGCTGCAGCCAGGTGGAGCGGTGTTCGCATGTCGTACGCTGTACCCACATTAGGATCTGCCTCTGCTTCGATTAGGCTCCGAATTCCTCACAGCAAGCCAGGTTACGTTGGTGCTATGCCATGAAACTATATGGGGGTGAATTTTCATGGGTGACCCTTTGGTGGACACCATTTAGGTGGGGATTTATGTCCACCAGCCACTTTTGAGGTGGACCCTTAGTACAATTCATAGCCACATTATGCACCAGTTTGTGGCGGCTAGGTATGCCTCACGACACTTAGGCTAGCGCCGTCTATATCACCACGAGCCGCACAGTCACAAACCAGACCTGATGGAGGGTGTAATTGATGATTGGAACCCAAATCTGAACTGCACTCCCTCACACGCACCAAGTGATGCCACAGGACCTGTAAGAGCCGGCTGTGGCAAACATTTCAAAGTACTGGCCGGTGGCAATTCAGAGCGTGCGCAAGGATGGGCGTCTTCATCCCCGCCTGGGCTTAAGCACGTGGTAGCAAAATCAAGAACTCATGCCGTCGGGCCCGGCGTGGACGACAAATCAGCAGCGGAAAAGACAACATACCATGTTGACCCAAGACTAAGCCAAGGCACCCATGGCAGCTGGCATTGGAACGAGCAGTCCCAGAAAACAGCCAAAAGCAGCTGCGAGAAAACGTGGATTACACAGTGTCCGCAAAGGTCGTGTCACCAAGACTAGTGAATGGGATGACGCTGCGACAAAATTGAACGGGCAATGTTCACAGCCTTGTTCTGCCTTGCGCCTTATTCATCCATGTCCAACACAGCAATGAGACTCTCGCCGAGGCTTGACGACAGGCCGCACCCTCCTCGCAGTGAGGGAGGTGACAAAAATGAGACACTTTGCTATTCACATGACCATGAGCCATTATTTTATGTAAAGCGGTTGCACTTCGCTTGGAAAATCGCACGACGGTTGCTCA